TTTTATAAATTGAAATTATAGAGCCCCACAGGCACAATATCATACACAATTTATATCGTCATAATTTTGTTACTACCATCACTTATATAACTACATTGTTATATGTAGTTTTCATAATTCACACTTCATGATTAATTTCTAACCAAAATCCGGCAGAGTTTCCTTTGTTTTTTGGCAACAATTTTAAATGACACAGTGAAATCTGCCAATAAAAATCCCCACGGGCATATTCAAGCAGTCCAAGTATAATTGTACACATCATCAATACATTGAAAAAAACTATATTCATCTTAATTTTAAAACTGTATCATTATTTGTCTTCACTTGAGAGTTCCACTGGAATGAGCTGAAACTTACATCCAATCACTATTTTATGGGGACAAAACGTATAAACAATTGAATCAACAGTTAACGGCCAACAATAATATGACTAAGAATCTCTACCTATGAATTGTAGTAAGTAAAATTTTATTACTTAAACTTTTTGCCCAACATATATAAGTGCAAGAACATCGTACCTGTGGGTTAAGGCAGCAATGAAAGTGCGCACCACAGAGAAAGAGAGCAGCGTTAGGGTCGACGCTGCAGTGGGGTGGAGGTGGAGGATGCAGTGCGGCGTTAGGGTCGAGGCTGTGGTGGGCTTGAGGTGGACAATGCAGTGCGGGCGGAGGCTACGGTGGGGGTGGAAGTTGGGCGACTAGCGTCGCGGTGGGCTGGAGGGTGCGGTGGGCTGGAGGTTGTGGTGGGGTGGGGTGGAGGTGGAGGCTGCGGTAGGGTGGAGGTCGAGGCTGCGGTGCGGCTGGAGTCTGCGGTGGACAATGCGGCGGGGGTGTCACGCGCTCTAGGGTGCGCGGTGACGACGTGAGGGAGGGCATTCGGAGAGTCCAAATGAGGGTGCTAGGTGGTGGCCGCGATGCTGGAGAGTAAGGGGAGATACAGAAATGTTAAAGATGTATCCTTTTTAAATGGGAAAATGGGTTTTCCACGTCGGTTATACCCTCACCCGACGTTGAAAGCCCTTGCAGAAGGGTTTTCAACGTCGGTTGAGGTTATAACCGACGTTGAAAGCCTACTTTCCACGTCGAGCATACTAAAACGACGTAGAATGTGTCAGAATTCAACTTTCAACGTCGGTTGTTCACCAACCGACGTTGAAAGTGTATTCAACGTCTGCTCAAATTTAACCAACGTTAAACAGTGACGTTGAAAGTATATTTTGTAGTAGTGGAAATAACTTGTTTAAATTTTTTTTAATAATTGCTTCCTTAAACCACTTAAAAATATAGTCAACGATCATAGCAAATGAATTTTTTAAATTTTATTAAAAGACATTCTATCAAACTAATAAATCTATATTTTATAATTTTTAAAAATAAGAAATAAGTTACTCCAATTAAAAACAACCTTATTAATTAGGGTAACAAAAACATTCAAATTAATTTATTTAATTAACTAGACCTGTTAGTTTTTCTTTTATCTACTTATAATTTTTATTTATTTATTTTTCTCCTCTTTCACTATTTATTTTTTTAGTTTGCATATAAACAATAAAGAGATATAGTTAGATAAATAATCTTACAAAAATTTTATTTAAGTAATTTTTTAAAATTATATTATTTACGAGGTTAATAGGATATAATGAAAACTTTTAATTTTAACATTGTATTTTTTCTAATCGTTCAACTTAAAGCACGAGAGAAAATTAAATTAAAATTATATTGTTGTTTAATGATTTTATTAATTTAATTAGTGTGATTATATATGTGGTATATGTGTTATAGATATGTTTAGAAAAAAGTAGTAATTTGGACCTAAAAATTGTGCTTAACATATAAGAAAAATGATAGGTGTGTTTAGTGGGAGTTGAGTGAGGTAAGGAAGCGTGTTATAAAACTCCTCACTTAAATTCTTTAGAAATATAAAATTTTATATCCAAGTCTCATTTTCTACCATCCACTCTATCTTGAGTATTTGTTTGGACTAAGAAATAGATTTGAAGAAAAATAATAAAAAATAAATTGTTTTAGATTAAAAAAATGAAAAATAAAATAAGTAAAAATTTAATAGGAAATAATATTGATTTAATTGACTTAAAAAATAAATTTTTAATTATAATATAATATGTGTTTTAGACATACTAAATTATATAGTAGAATATATTATATATTTTCATATATAATTAGTTATGTCTATCTTAATTTTTTTTTTTACTTTCCATATAATTATATGTAGAAGAGAGGGAGTGAAAATAAATTTTGAAAAAGGTAAAAGTAAAGCATTTATTATGTGTTAAAAAAGTAACTTTCCTTATATTTTTCTAGCTTCCTTATATTTGGATTGAGAAGTGTATGGGGGAGTGGGAAAAATGAGAAAGAGAATGGAAATTGGACTGTTTGGATCGAAGTAAGGAGAAAAAAAAGTTAAATAAAATAAGTTGAAAGATGATATAAAATGAGATTGAATAAAAAAATTAAAATAATAATATAAAGTATATAATAATTAAAAATTACGGTATTGATAAGAGATAAAATAAATATAAATTAAAATGTGATATAATTTAATATAAAGTAATTAATTTATATTATATATAAATTCTTGAGATAATAATAAAAAATTTATATAGAATATAAAAATAATTTTGGATATTTTCTATGAATATTTAATTTTTTTAGATTAAAAAATGAAAATAAGAAGAAATAAGAGAAAAGTTTATAATTAATTTAATTGATTTGAAATAATATTAATGAAATAATTTATTAAAATATTAAAATATTCTTACTTAAAATTTAATAAAAATTAAATATAAATTATTTTATAAAAAACAATTAATTTAAAAGTAATTAATTTTAAAAATTTTAAATTTAAAAAATTATTAATTGAAAATCATGTATAAAAATTTATTTTAAGTACTAACTTAAAAAAATTAAAATATAATAACAAGATTTATAATAAAAAATAAAATCAATAACATTAATAAGAAGATTTTCATAAATAGAATACTAAATAATCATATAAAAAAATACAATACTCTTTTTTATTTTTATGGGACTTTAAACATATACCACTCTTTAAGTATTGATCTTATGTTAGGTATTTTTGAAGGGGACAAACAATATATAACACCCTTACTCATCATTTTTATCCAATATGAAATTTTAAACATATACCACTCCTCGAGTATTGACCTTAGGTTACGTATTTTCGAGGGGAACAAACAATAAAGAGATTCTCATAAATGGAACACAAGTCAATCATACAAGAGAACATGTCATCACCTTCAATCTCAAAGTCTTATGACATTATATTATGACTAAACTTTTCTATTTTATCCAATGTAAAACTTTAAACACACTTAAATTCTCAACATTACATATAATACGCATCAATAGTATGTCAATTTTCATCAGAATGAAAGTGTTTTTGTTATGAAAGTTAGAAAGAAAGACATGTTTGCAGAAATGTGTATTATTAATATGTCCAATTCTGCCAAAAAATTACAATTTGAACCCAAGCCAACAATATTGAAAGAGCTGTGTTTTGTTTAAGTATTAACATTAGTAACAATATTGATAGAACTGTGTTTTGTTTAAGTATTAACATTAGTGGTGAAAGTCTCCTTCAAAGTTAATTGTTTTTCTTGCTAAACAATAAGCTTTGAAGTCGCTTTAAATATTGAGTGAATGATTCATCACACGTATTGATGAAGAAAGGAAATGTACAAGTCAATAAATTATCATAAAGCTTCATAGGTGTACATGGTTATCAAAATCGGATTGAACCGGCCAGTTTAATTGGGAATCGATTCGAAGCACACTAAAAACTGGACGAATAATGAATTGGTAAAAAACTGGATCAACTCGTTAAAAACTTGAAAAATCGGTGAGACCTGACGGGTCAAGGTTTTTTAAAGGGCTAAATAACATCATTTTGTCCTATATTTTTTTTTTAAATTTAACATCGAGACACACAAACGTAAAAAGAGAAAGTTATTTTTTATATTGGTGGTGATATTCTTCTTTCACTACTGTCTTCGTTCTTATAACTGTCATCGCACCATCACCTACTACTTTTGATTATTTCATTTTGGCGTCACCCTTATTGTCACCATTGTCTACTATTATCATCACTATCATTAATGAAAATATAATAATATGTAAAAATCACAATATCTTAATTTCAAGAATTAATTTGATGAGTGAGAAATGGGTTAAATGTAGTGAGTTATGTTTGGATTCCATAACCATACCTTAAAATAAAAATGTATAATTTGAAATTAAATACAATGGAAGATATGGTGTAATTTTTTTTCTTTTAATTATTTTTAAGATAGTAGTAATTTTTGTTTTTAATTATTTTTAAGTTAGTAGTAATTTTTTTTCTAATTATTTTCAAGTTAGTTGTAATTTTTTTTTATTTTCAAGTTAGGTGAAACTTTAATTGTTCTGTATTTCAAATGTTTGATAATATATTTATTCTTTTTTATGTATTTTATAAATTATTTTTATTAATATATAATATTTTTAAATAGTATTTATATTGGATTGAAATTATTATTATATTATGATAAATTTATTTTAAGTTCAATATATTATTATATTATTAAAATATATTATTTCAGTAAATCTAGTTTAATTCTCAATTAAATCTTGATTAAACTCTAAACTCATATATTCATCTATTTGATGATGGATCTGATTTGAAGAACAACGGCAATGGTTTTGTTGGGCGCTTCCAATAAATTCCATTTTATTTTTGTTACTAAGCCTAGTTATTACTCACGTGCTTGAAGTTTACACATATTTTGTGACCATTCTTCATATTTTGTGAAGAGAAAAAGTTTACAAAAATTGTAATCTTGTGTATATTAGTATGAAATCCATGACAGGTGGAGTGTTCCTTATATTCACTATTTTTCCTTTTCATATCAGCAATAATTAAAATTACAAAATCAATGTTACAAATAAAGCCTAAGATATAGCTACCACGCTATTTATAGATAATTAGAGAGTCAAATTTTCCATTCTCCTTTGCTCTAAACCCCCGACATGGCAAACAAAGCTGCAAAATTCAAATACCTTGCTCTTAGGTAGATTTTCTTTTCCAACCAAAGTCACATAAAAAAAAGTAAAATAATGGTAAATAGATTATATTTTGGACGTATAAAAGAGATAGAGATTCATGGTGAGGACAAGGGAAACATAGAATATAAAATTTAAAACAAAAACTGAAAATTTATCTGTCAGATGATGTGCCCCGTCGATTAGGCAGCACCAAAATCTAGTTAATAGCAAAAGTCCAAATCAAAGGTTTCGAATTGCTAGCCTCAGGCACAATTCTTTTGATGGAATTGATGGCCAAAGATTTACTTGGTGGCCCCATTCAACATATTTTATTTCAGTACGCCCACTCTACCCAACATCATCCCCTTTTACCACTTCTCTCTTTTCTCATTCATAAAGTACATCTTTTCCAACCTACCACTCCATTCTCATCTCATTACACAACACGCATTAATAGAGTTTTCATAATAAAAAAGAAAATGTTTAAATGAACTTCAATATCTAAGTTTCCTAATTCCTAAGTCCAAATCAATATAAATTACGACACAGTTATAATCTCGAACTGCTAACCTTAACACCTACCTCCTTACCTAGGTTAAGGTTAAAATTAAAGAAATAAAATAAAAATTGTACACGCTAACTAACTTAGGGCCCCATTGAACCGGATCATTCGTTCAACCTCTTCTCACCCTAGTATCATAAAAAATACAAAAAATAAATAAGAATCAAAAACCGGTAACCGGTGGCGAACCGGTGTCCGGTTCAGGGCCCGCCTCCTTCTTCTGCCGCATTTCCAGAACCTTCCGGTGGTGGTTGGAATGCAACTCGCTCGAAAAAGTAGGGCTACACGCGGGTCTATATTCGGGTAATAACCGACCCGACTTATACCGAACTCCGCACGCGTTGCACAAGGTCTTAGGCCCCAGCGGTCCGGTTCGCCACTGAGGGGTTTTCTGCACGCCGCAATGGCCGCAACGTCGCGCAGCTCCACCGTCCGGCGCAGCCCGTTTCCTTGCCCTTTTATCTTCCGGGTGGCGGTTTTTAGACGCCGCGGCGCAAATTAGCAAAGGACTGGAGATTGATGACGTGTCGGTGAAAAACGAGGGCGACCTGAGTGGCCAAACTCGAACACCGGTTCTGGTTCGCTTGCTCCTTGGCTTGGCCGGAACGAGGGTCTTAAAAGTGAAACCGGCGTCTCCCAGTTCCGGTGGTTTCTCGGGGAGGCTCTGTGTGACGGTTGCGGGGAAGGAAAGGGAGTATTTGGAAAAAGAATCTTCAATGAAATGAGACACCCATTCCAAGTCCGCAACCTCCTCCGCCTGTAAAAATTGCGACTTTGGTGAAAAAGAAGGATGAAAAACTTACTAACGTCGAAATGAAAAGGGAAATACCGGAAGTGTGAGTTCGGTATTGAAATTGTCGTTGAAGGAGAGGTTATAATTGTAAATATTGTAGTTGTTGTTGTTGTTGTGAGGGGAAGCAGAATTTGAGTGGTGCTTATGTATGTCTTGGTCGGATTCTTCGTTTTCGAGGAGTGAAAAGTCGAAGAGGTCGTCGACGAAGAGGTCATCGCAAGAGGCCACCTTTTGCATGCTAAGGTCCTCTGAGAACCTTTGGGGGCTGAGTTTGAGAGCCATGTCTTTCCTAAAACTCTTCAACACTGCTTCCCAAACACTTCATTTCAACCTAAGATTGAATAACAATTGGCTTCTTAATTTCACAAAAATTTCTGAAAAGAAAAAATATTGAAGACGAAGAACCAAACACCATTATTTAGTCCTTACCTCATAGAGAGTATAGGGTAGAGATGACGATAGAAGGATGAAATTGAAAGAAAAACCGCGGAGGATGGTGTGTCTGTTAAAACATCATTCAATGAGGGCTGAAGTATGCCTCTCTTTTTTTTTAACCCAAAAATAAATAAATAAACTTTATGTCTCCCTAATTTTACTTTTCCTCGTCTCACCAATCTTGTTCTCCCAATTCTCAACCCTCTGCAGCAGCATAATGAAACTTGTTTTTTTTTCCTTACATGTTAAGGTACTTGATTTTATAGTTGAAAATAATAATAAATAACAAAATAGTAAATATTCATTAATAATAAAAACATATATATATATATATATATATAATTATTAAAAAAATTAAAATAACTATATATATCACATTAAACATATGTATTTTTTAAATTGATATTTTTGAAATAAAATTAAATTTTTTATTAGTAAACTTTTGAAAACAACCTTACTAAATATGTATTATAAAAGTATAGATAATATTGAAATATTATATATAATAATATGATTGTTAATAGGAAACAAGACGTTATATATTTCTAAATTTTTAATATAATTTTATAGGAAAAGTATTTTTTTAAGGATTAAGAATGTTAAAAAAACAATTTATAAATATTGTCACGATTTTGAATTTAAAATAATTAAGGTGTGTATATTCTAATTATTTGTTTTGAACTAAATAACCATCTCAATTACAGATTATGCGTGTTTATATTTGTACGATAATTAAAATTAACTAATATAAGTAAAATTTCGTTATTAAATAGTTATTGAAATATTGTAAGAATAATAGTTAAAAAATTAATAAAATAATAATAATAGTAATATTATGTAATGAAAAATTACCACAAAAAACAAATTTCTTTGATTAATAATTATATTTTTTTAAATATGATAGATTTAATGTTTAACCGATGTAAAAAGAAATCAGGCTGATTGGTCTATTCTTTGTAAAACATCACATTTTAATTAAATTGATAATATATATATATATATATATATATATATATATATATATATTTATAAAATTGAAGAAATCTGAATAATTTTTTTAATCAGTTTGAGTGAAAAAATTAAAAATTAATCCTTTTTAATTTTTATAAAAGACAAATTTTTATAAAGATTAGTATTTTCAAATTGGATAATTTTAAATAATAATTTTTTATGATATTTTTATCTTATTTTCATCTTATTAAAGTTTGTTTATTTACTATTTAGTTTTTGAAAGTTGAACAACTTCTTTGATAATTGATTATTAACAAAATTTAAAATTTACTGTAGATTGTAGTTTTTAAAATTTTAAAATAAAATTATCAGAAGGTGTTTTGTTTCTCAATTTTTCTTTTCTTTTTTAAATAATCAAAATTAAAATATTCAAGAGACTTTTTTTCAATTTTTATTAATAATAAAGTTATAAATATTTTAAAATTGGAACTCTTCAAATTTAAATTGAAAAATTTAATAATGTATTTTTTACATCATTTTATGATGTATTTAGTATTTAAAAAATCTTGTTAAGCATTTGTTTGTTCATCATCTCCGTCTCATTTTTCATTTATTTAACTTTTTTATTATTATAAGTATTTTATTAAAAAAAATCTTTTCTTATTTGGAATGCAAACTTTTTAATTTGTAACCTTAAATTTATATTATGAACAGGTCCAATTCTAAAAATATTAATTAATGATATAAACTATTATATTATATTATCATTTTTAAATTAAAAAAATAAAATATATAAGATCCTAATTTTAAAATTAAAGTCTCAGATCAAGCAAACATTAGATATGTAAATTGAATAAAAAGTTAAAATAGTTTATAATCTATTATCTAAAATATAAAAATAAAATTTGAAGTTTTGAAATTTAAATTCAATGTTAAAAGAAAAAAACTTAATTATTTTAATATTTTAATTTTATTTTTAAATGATAGCAATAATATTATTTCAAATTTTAAATATAAGATTGAAATCAAAATATGGGAACTGAAATTTAATTTTCAAATCTTAAAATCATTTGATTATTATTAATGGTAATAAAATATTAATCATAATTATTATTATTATCTGACTTTTCACATTTAAAGTTCGTTTTTTGTGTATTTCGGACAATTGAAACGACTAAATAAATAAACACAAAATAGTATCTTAAATCTTTCCAAAAAAAATGCAAATGAATATATCTGTTTTTAATTAATGTAGTAGGCAATAAGTTACCAAATAAATATATAAAATTTATATTAAATATTATTGATGTAAGCATTAATATATAATTATTAATTAACAGAATCAAATTAATTTTTTTATTGTCATTGGTATTTTCTAAAACTTAACCATTTATAACTTGATACTTTGAATGAAACTTAAGTTTAAACTTTAACATAATTATTTTTCATGTGTAATTAAAATATATTTTGTTATGATAATTGGTTATTTTATTTTGATTTTTATGAAGTTAACAAAATTTATAATTTGTTTTTTAATGAAATCCTATCAACATTATTATTAAAATGTAAGATCATTATAATAAGTTTATTATTCATTTATTATTACGATGATTATAATAATTATTTAAGATATATAATAAATTAAAATAAATTTTTATTTTAAATATTAAAATATATACATCTTTAACTTTTATCCTTATATATATATATGTATATATATATATATATATATATATATATATATATGACATTCTTTCATATTCCAATGTTATTGTTTAATAAGAGAAAAATAATAACTAAAAAAATAAATACAAAGATGTATAAAAATTCGTTTATTCCCTTCAAATTTTATACATGATTATATGAATATTTTTGTATTAAGGATTATGGTGTGGGAGTAAAAAAAATTAAATTTTTGTATATTTATAACTTTTTTATTTATTTCAGATTTTAAATTTTATTTTTTAGTTCGTGTTATAGTTTGGGTTATTAAGATTTTTTAATATATTTAAATTTAATAATTTATTAATTTTGAGCTCAATTTTTTTTAAAGATAAACATTAAAATCTATTTGATTTAAAAAAAAATACTCCAAATTTATTAGTAACATCTTTATATCATATCATATGATGATTATCAACACAGCTCTTTTATTAAAAATATAAATGAAAGTTAAAATTACATTGGTTTAAATAAGAAAATTGAATAATTTATAAATAATAAGAAAAAACTATAATATAATTTTTATCTAAAAATGGTGATATATCATAATCATAAGTTTAATTCCTTACAAAACTTAATGCTAACCCTATAAATCCATTTGTATTTATTGGAACTATTGGAATATGAAAAATAAATAAATCTTTAATATAACAAAAACTTTATTCTGAACCAATATAAAGATGTGTTGGTATTATTTTATTCTCACTAAATTTGACATGTAGGGATTATTTTATTATCACTCGTTATTTTTTCGGGATCAGGTTTTGAGTCGGCCCACCAACTCACCATAATATGCGCGAGGTTAGTACTACTTTCAACCCATTAGTCCGTTTTGACCCGTCTTGCCAAGCCTACCGACCAAGCCCGCGGGATGAAACGGGTCAACTTGCAATCCACTTTATTAATATTTTTTTATTATTATGATATAATACAAAGAGTTAGAAATAGGGATGGCAAAACGGGCAAGCCCGCCCGTTTTGGCCCGCCCGCCTTTGGCCCGCCAAAGTCGAAGGCTGGCCCGATATAGTCATGACGAGTCTGTAGACCTTGGCCCGCCACGCTAAGGGGCTGGTCGTGGTTGACCGTCATAATTTAGAAAAAAATAATTTTTTTAAATAATTTTTTTTAATAAATTTAATAATAAAATTATTATTTGTTTGTCAATAATTCAATATATATATATATATATATATATATATATTATTTCAATTTAATAATATAAATCAATACATTATTTTAAGAAATTATAATTTAGAACAATAATAAAATTTACATAATAATAAATAATAACAAATATATATATATATATATATATATATATATATATATATATAAATAACGTTAAACTTATAAAATTTATATTTTTTATATTGAAAAATTCAAATACCTATATTTTTTTTATTTGATAAAACTTCATATTATTCTTGGTTGAGTAATTCTTATAACTTTAATTCAAGTAATAAGGATAAATATAATCGAGTGCTTAGGATAAATAAGGAGAACAGGAGAGAAGATTATATTTCAAGAAGGAGAATATTTTCTGTGAAAATGAAACTTTTTTAATTCTCTTTTTACAATTTTTAACTTTATATATTATCTTTATAATTAATTTTATTACAATAAAAAATTATTTTTTATTAATTAGACGAGTCAGCGGCTGGCCGCTCAGTCCCGCGGGTTGGCCCGACGGGTTGGCGGACTTGGCGGGCGGGTCAAAATGGGTCGGTGGGTGAAAACACTAACCCGCCCGCCATATTATGACTAGTTGCGGGCCTAGTTTTGCTATCCCTAGTTAGAAAGACCATATATAATATAAAAATTTATGAAAAGAGAATTTTAAAAGTTCCATTGTCTCATAAAAAGAATTCATAAAGTCTCGAGTATCTCATTATTAAGAGAATTCAAAATTTTTTACTTTTACATACATATATTTATTATTATATAAATTTTATCTTAATTTAATTGTTCTGAAATATAATTTATTAAAATAATATATCAATTTATATTATTAACTTGAATATATATATATATATATATATATATATATATTGAATTATTGACAATAATAATTTTATTATTAAATTTATTGAAAGATTTGATTTAAAAATAATAAAATAAAATAAGAAATATGATGGTAAATCCAGTCCTTTGGCTAGACGGACCAAGACCTGTAG